GGGGGAGTACTTCATCTCCCAGAATTCCTCAGCCAGCCATGTTTATTTCTTAAGAGTAAATCAAGTTTATTTTAAAAACATGTTTGGAAGCCGCATATGCTAGCATGGATAAATTAAGAATTTAAAACCCTGACCCAAAAATGTAAAAGACTAGTATAGATTCTGAATTTGAAGAATAAGCCATGTTGGCTGGCTGAGGAATTCTGGGAGTTGAAGTCCTGTTGTGTGGCCAAGGTTGAGAAACACTGCTCTAAACCAGGCCAAATGCCAGTTGCAGAGATTAAAAAAACAATGACAACGGAGGGGAAGTTAAATAGCCAGGTTTTGGAGGTTTACAATGGGACACACAGACGGTCTGTACTTCCTGGGTGGGTAGATTCATGTAACAAGAATTTGTAGTTTAAATCCATGTGATTTCTGATGACTTGCATTGTTTGGCAGGGCCTTGCAAGAAAGCAAATTCTTCCTTGGCAGAATATTCCTCTTTGGGGAAAGCTCCAATGTGACCCTGCCAGCTTGTTCCAGGGATCTACACAGGGCACTCATCTAGAGTAGACCAACAGTCTGCAATACTAAGGAATTAATACTAAGTATTAATCCAAAAAGCTTATTTACTTGGATCGCCCTGCTCAAGCTGTCTGATTAACGTCTTTTAAAATCCTCCTTTTAATTTAGGCCTGATGGTTGAAAGAAAATAGAATTTTCAGAGCGGTTTCCCCCTTTATTTCTTAAAAGTAAATCAAGTTTATTTTAAAAACGTGTTTGGAAGCCGCATATGCTAGCATGGATAAATTAAGAATTTAAAACCCTGACCAAAAAATGTAAAAGACTAGTATAGATTCTGAATTTGAAGAATAATTACAGAATGGCCTAAGCAGGTGAGAGTTTCAACAAAATAATGTACAGGTAGTCCTTGACTTATGACCACATTTGAGGCCAAACTTTCTTTTTGCTAAATGAGACAGTTATTAAGCGAATTTTGCCCCATTTTTACAACCTTTTTGCTACAGTTGTTAAGTCAGTAACACGATTGCTAAGTGAATCTGGCTTCCCCATTGACTTTGCTTCGCAAAGTTGATCACATGACCCCGGGACACTGCAACCGTCATAAATATGGGTCAGTTGCCAAGCGTCCGAATTTTGATTACATGACCGGTTGTAAGTGTGAAAAACAATCCTACATCACTTTTTTCAGTGCCTTTGTTAATTCAAATACCGTATTTTTTGGAGTATAAGATGCACCAGAGTATAAGATGCACCAAGATTTTGAAGAGGCAAATTTAAAGTTTTTGCACTTTGCAGATCTCCCAAAAATGGCCCTTTTTTGCGAAAGTGGGCCCACTCCCCCCACAAAAGGCATGAATAGCCTTTAGGAGGCTTGTAGAGTGCTCCTGAGGAATGGGGGGGGGGGCAAAAAACAAGCAAAAAAGGCCCATTTATGTCAAAAAAAGGGCATGAATAGCCTTTAAGAGGCTTATAGAGTGCTCCTGGGGGCTGGGAGGGGGCAAAATTGAGCAAAGAACAATTCATTTTTAACTCATTTCTGCCCTCCCCAGCCCCCAGGAGCACTCTGCAAGGCTCCTAAAGGCTATGCACGGCCATTTTGGTGAAGGGGGTGGGGTTTGGGGAGGCAAAAAAATGTTGTATTCAGTGTATAAGACGCATCCAGATTCAGTTTATAAGACACATCCATTTAAAGTTTTTGCACTTTGCAGATCTCCCAAAAATGGCCCGTTTTTTGCGAAAGTGGGCCCACTCCCCCCCCCAAAAGGCCTGAATAGCCTTTAGGAGGCTTGTAGAGTGCTCCTGAGGAATGGGGGGGGGGCAAAAAACAAGCAAAAAAGGCCCATTTATGTCAAAAAAAAGGGCATGAATAGCCTTTAAGAGGCTTATAGAGTGCTCCTGGGGGCTGGGAGGGGGCAAAATTGAGCAAAGAACAATTCATTTTTGAGGGGGAAAAGTGTGTCTTATACTCCAAAAAATACGGTAGTCACTAAACAAACTGTTGTAAGTTGAGGCTTAGCTGTAGTTTGGGGATTCCTTCTTGAGATTGACTAACTGGAAACCTTGTCCTTTGGCAATGATGTTTCCTTTTACCAATTAACCAGTGGAATGGTTAGCCTTCAGACATTGTGGGTGCTCCATTACCGGAGGCTTTTAAGAAGCAACTAGACGGCCATATATAGGGTAGGACAGGCCTTTCAAACTGGAAACCCGCAGGCTGGATGTGGCCCATGTAGGCCATGCTGACTCCAGCTCCTCAAAGGCAAAAAACACATCCCGATACGTCACGATTCAGCCCGCGATGTGATCGAGTTGACACCCCTGGTATAGGGTCTCCTGCTTGGAAGGGGTTGGACTAGAAGACCTCCAAAGTCCCTTCCAACTCTGTTAAGAGCCGCGGTGGCGCAGTGGTCAGAGTGCAGTACTGCAGGCTACTTCAGCCGACTGCTAGCTGCAGTTCGGCAGTTCGATTCTCACCAGGCTCAAGGTTGACTCAGCCTTCCTTCCTTCCGAGATGGGTAAAATGAGAAGCCAAGTTGTTGGGGGCAACGGGCTGACTCTGTAAACCGCTTAGAGAGGGCTGTAAAAGCACTATGAAGCGGTATACAAGTCAAAGTGCTAAGTTATTCTGTGTTCTAATGTGGAGATTAAAATTAACTGCATTCATAGTGACCTGCACATCCCTAATCCAAAATAGCCTAAATACAAGCACTTTCAACAATTATGATCGTAAGTCGAGGGCTACCTGTACTTGGTTGATTCTCCCCCCTCCCCAAACCTGAGCAGAGTTGAATGTGGTTAATTATTGGAATGGAGACCACCAGGAAAAATAAGCGGGACAAATTACATCTCAGAAGAAGGCGACCATAGGCCACTTCTAGGTTGCTTCCACGATAGAAGTCAAACTCGGTTTGAGGAATCTTAAATCCAAACGTTAAAGACAATCTTAGCAGATGGGACAGTATCTTCTGGTAATTTGGTTGACTGCTATACAGGCCAATTGTCTTCGTGTGTCTGTGAAAGTTCTCATTCATCCAGGTCATGCTTGTCCCAAAAGTGTTCGAACTGAAGAAGCTTCTTGGCTGAGAAGGGAAACGTCTTAAAGAAAAGTCCAGTTGCCTTTAAAAGTCAGTTGCCTTGACTTATAACAGATCATTTAGTGACTGTTCAAAGTTACAACGGCAAATAAAAATAGTGACTTATGACCATTTTTCAAAGTTACAACCTTTGTAGCATCCTTGCAATCATGTGATCGAAATTCAGATGCTTGGCAACTGCTTCATATTTATGACCTTTGCTGTGCCCCAAGGTCATGTGAGACCCTTTGGCAACCTCCTGACGAGCAAAATCAATGGGGAGACCAGGTTCCACTTAACAACTGGGTTACTCACTTATCAACTGCAGTGGTTCACTTAACAACTGTTTCATGAAAAGTTGTAAAATGGGGTACAACTCCCTTAACAAAGTTCTCACTTAACAGACCAGAAATGTTGGGCTGAATTGTGATAGTAAGTCGAGGACTACCCGTAAAAGCACTTTAGGGTCAGTTGTCCTCATTTCGCCATCAGCTCAGCCTTGCCTGCAATTCCTGAATGCCTGCAAACCTAGATAACATCTGTCTTCCCCAGAGGTGTTGCAACCGCAAGTCCCTGAATTGTTTTCCAGTTGGGAAATTTGAGAAATTTGGATGTTGCCGTCTCATGTCTCTGGAGTAGTGAGTCTTAATAAAAGCCCAGTCGAGACCCGCTAGGACTCTGTTTTTTGCACGCTTAATTTACCGTATTTTTCGGAGTGTAAGACGCACCGGAGTATAAGACGCACCAGGGTTTTGAAGAAGCAATTTTTTTAAAAAAAGTTTTTGCACTCTGCAGACCTCCCCAAAACAGCCCTTTTTTTGCGAAAACGGCCCCATTTTTAAAAGATGGGCAGGAATAGCCTTTAGGAAGCTTGTAGAGTGCTCCTGGGGGGTGCCCCTCCCCCCAAATGAGCAAAAAATGGTCTGTTTTTCATGAAAACGGGTACGTTTTTTGTCAACAAAGGGCATGCATAGCCTTTAGGAACCTTGCAGAGTACTCCTGGGGGCTGGGGGGGGGGGTAAAATTGAGCAAAAAATTGCCTGTTTTTTGCTCATTTCTACCCTTCCCATCCCCCAGGAGCACGCTGCAAGGCTCCTAAAGGCTATGCATGCCCTTTGTTGACAAAAAACGTACCCGTTTTCATGAAAAA